CACAGTAGCATGAAATAAATCAGCTGCAACATGATGTGATTTATTCACAGTGATTATTCTGGTTAGAGATTCATGAGTCTAACAACCTCAGTCTAGAAGCTGTTCCTCAGTCTAGTGGTTCTACACTTAATGCTCCTCAACCTCCTGCCTGAGGGGAGCGGGGCAAAAAGTGTGTGTGCTGGGTGAGTGGGGTCCTTCATGATGCAGGTGGCCCTCTTCCTGCATCTGGAGGTGTAGATGTCTGTGATGGTGGAGAGACTGACTCTTACAGTCTTCTGTGCAGTCTTCACCACTCTCTGCAAAGCTTTTCTTTCTGCAGCTGTGCAGCCTCCATGCCACACGTTGATGCTGGAGCACAGGATGCTCTCCACTGCACACCGTGAGGACTGAGCTTCTCAGACCAGCTCACCTCAGCCTCCTGAGGAAGTAGAGTCTCTGATGAACTTTCTTGATCAGGCTGGTAGTGTTGTTGCCCCAGCTGAGGTTGTCATTCAGGTGGCACACCCAAGTACTTGTAGTTCGAGACCACTTCCACCGCAGATCCTTCTGTGGTGGAAGTGATCTCCATTATGCAAAATGAACAGTGATACCAAGCACTGCACCAACCCTAGTGTTGTTTTGGGACCTCTAAAGATATGTTCACAAGCAGATTAATGCAAACTTTTATGAATTAAAGCAACTTTGTAAAAAAGTTGGAATTTTGTTTTTCACTAAAAAATGAGAAAATGATAAACAGAAAGTGATTATTTCAGGATATTACTGCTTAAAATCAACACACAATTGAATTACAAGTTCACAGATGATGATTCTGCAGTTGAGCTCTTAAAAAAGCCACACAAAAAAAAATGTCTCACCAGATGTTTTTGTGTTTATTCAATTCAACTCAATTGCTATGTTTACTGCAGCAGAAAGTTCACATGTGGGCTTGTTTCTGTCCTCAGGATGAGCAGCAAAGCCTCTGGATCAAAGTAACTAACCCCCACAGTCCAAGGTTAATTCTCCAAAGAGCTCAAGCACCAGAGTCTACTGTGTCCTGACGTTCACCTCAAGGAACATTCCTCCTCCTCAACTGGTTGATCTGTCCCACCATCACACTCCTCTTCACATCCAGAGTATGAACACTGGATATCTGAGGTGCTGGAAAATCAAAAAGTAACACTGAGGAGCAACTGGTTCAGGTTCAGGTTCATTAATTGATTAATTAATTGTATGAAACATTTGTAGGTCTGAGGTCAGCAGTATGAAAAAAACATTTAAATTAGTCATTTACTCCATTTTTACCCCCAGGAACTTCAGTTTCATGTGCATTAATTGTTGCTTTTAAAGACAAGTTAACCTGTCTTAAAATGTTAATGTTTTTGTAGTTAATATATATAAATTAAACTTTTACTTCTTAAAACCTGTCATCCACGTATGGTGTAAGTCAGTTTGTTCAGTTGCACAAACACATCTTTTTTATTATAAACTGTGAGCATAGACATTTAGTTTTATTTAATAAAGAGTAAGATAAGACTTTAGAAATTTGGATGTCTGTTTGAATGACATCTTGCATCATTTTTTGACATGTAAGGTTTTTTTTCTTCCAGAAATTTAATCTGGCAGTCACTATCAAAGGACATTTACTATCAAAAATGAAAAAGTAAACAGAAGATGTAGCAACTGAAAACCAGCAACCATACAAGACCGAGGGAAGATACTTAACAGACAGGTAACACGTGTGATGATTAGAACTCAGGTGTGACAGAAGAGTAAAAAGCACAACCAGGAGACAGACTTCATATACAGTACATGAAACAAGAGCAATTAACTAAGATGAACAGAGCTGCCAAAACACAAAAATGTGAAAAATCATCTATATTTATACACTGGAACCATTTTCATATTTTTGCAATGTAATGGTTTGAAGTCCATTCAACTCATTAGAAAATAAATATTTTTGTGTTGCTCAACAAAAACATTTAGCAATATATTCAAATTAGAATATATCATTTTATAGTGTTCTGTTGTTTATTGGTCACAATTACAGAGTAATTAAATACTTTAAGAAATAACAGTAACATCGTGTAATTTATAAAAAGACAGTGCAGATTTGAATAAAAGCCTTCTTTAGCTTTATTTTAATTTTGAGTTTCATTCTGATGAATTTGGATCAAAAACATTTTTATGAAACAGTGCCCTCAAGTGGATATAAGGCAGGGATACATTACAAAGACTAGGAAATGAGATCAAAATAAGAAAGATTTAATAAAAAAAGATGTGTAAATTACCAAAATACCTTTAAAAACATGTGCAATTTCATTACTCAAATGCTTTGTTGCTAGATACCTTGATGACATTTTGCAAAATTTTTAACAGTGTTGTGAAAATTGTTACTCATAGACCTACAACAACAGCAATGGCAGAAGTAGAAATAATTTTAGTCAGCAGGTAGCTGTAACACAGTGCCTTGCGAAAGTATTCGGCCTCCTTGAACTTTTCAACCTTTTGCCACATTTCAGGCTTCAAACATAAAAATATAAAATTTTATTTTTTGTGAAGAATCAACAACAAGTGGGACACAATCGTGAAGTGGAATGAAATTTATTGGATGTGTCAAACTTTTTTAACAAATAAAAACTGAAGAGTGGGGCGTGCAATATTATTCGGCCCCCTTGCGTTAATACTTTGTAGCGCCGCCTTTTGCTGCAGTTCCAGCTGCAAGTCTCTTGGGGTATGTCTCCATCAGTTTTGCACATGGAGAGACTGAAATTCTTGCCCATTCTTCCTGTAAAACAGCTCGAGCTCAGTGAGGTTGGATGGAGAGCGTTTGTGAACAGCAGTCTTCAGCTCTTTCCACAGATTCTTGATTGGATTCAGGTCTGGACTTTGACTTGGCCATTCCAACACCTGGATATGTTTATTTGTGAACCATTCCATTGTAGATTTGACTTTATGTTTTGGATCATTGTCTTGTTGGAAGATAAATCTCCGTCCCAGTCTCAGGTCTTTTGCAGATTCAAACAGGTTTTCTTCCAGAACATTCATGTATTTGGCCCCATCCATCTTCCCATCAATTCTGACCATCTTCCCTGTCCCTGTTGACGAAAAGCAGGCCCAAACCATGATGCTGCCACCACCATGTTTGACAGTGGGAATGGTGTGTTCAGGGTGATGAGCTGTGTTGCTTTTATGCCAAACATATCGTTTTGCATTGTGGCCAACAGTTGGATTTTGGTTTCATGTGACCAGAGCACCTTCTTCCACATGTTTGGTGTCTCCCAGGTGCTTGTGACAAACTTTAAACAACACTTTTTATGGATATCTTTGAGAAAGGGCTTTCTTATTGCCACTCTTCCATAAAGGCCAGATTTGTGCAGTGTACGACTGATTGTTGTCCTATGGACAGACTCTCCCACCTCAGCTGCAGATCTCTGCAGTTCATCCAGCGTGATCATGGACCTCTTGGCTGCATCTCTGATCAGTCTTCTCCTTGTTCGAGATGAAAGTTTAGAGGGACGGACGAGTCTTGGTAGATTTGCAATGGTCCGATACTCCTTCCATTTCAATATGATTGCTTGCACAGTGCTCCTTGGGATGTTTAAAGCTTGGGAAATCTTTTTGTATCCAAATCCTACTTTAAACTTCTCCACAACAGTATCTCGGACCTGCCTGGTGTGTTCCTTGGTCTTCATGATGCTCTCTGAACATTGACCAGAACCCTGAGACTATCACAGAGCAGGTGCATTTATACGGAGACTTGATTACACACAAGTGGATTCTATTTATCATCATCAGTCATTTGGGACAACATTGGATCATTCATAGATCCTCACTGAACTTCTGGAGTGAGTTTGCTGCTCTGAAAGTAAAGGGGCCCGATAATATTGCACGCCCACTTTTCAGTTTTTTATTTGTTAAAAAAGTTTGACGCATTCAATAAATTTCATTCCACTTCACGATTGTGTCCCACTTTTTGATTCTTCACAAAAAAAATAAAATTTTATATCTTTATGTTTGAAGCCTGAAATGTGGCAAAAGGTTGAAAAGTTCAAGGGGGGCGAATACTTTCGCAAGGCACTGTATCTTTTCTTGATAAAGATTGTATTTAAACATCAAAACTGATTAACAAAATCACATTATTTGCAAAAAAGCAGAGACTAGACTCAGAAGTTACACCCTCATCTTCATGACTGCACCTTGAGATCCTGTCCATGACCACAAGCATATCTACCTTCATAAAGAGGCAGCCTTGACAGTCCAAGCCTCACAATCAAAAAGCTCGACTTTGCTTTGCAGAAACCAAACAGCCTTTAAAAGTGACCCGGGTGGCACCCCATACTCATGTAGTACCCCCACACAATGCTACAGGGAATGGGATAAAAAGTTCTCCAGATCCACAAAACACATGTGTTTCAGATCCACAAAACACTGTTTGTGGATCTGGCACATGTGGATCACATGTGACTGGCAGTAAAACTCCCATCACCAGGAATTATTCTCATCATTTTAAAATGATGAAAAATGGACAAAAACAAAAATTCCTTTTGATTTCTCAACAATGCTATGTTACAAATAAACCATTAAAATAAACATTTCTAAATTGATATTTCTAAACTGTTCAAATCTAACTAGATAAGATCTAAATTGCGGCTGAGTGAAAGTTAATAAGGTGGAATCATAATGATAGTAAAATTTCAAAATAATAATTCTAGTGCAAAATATATAATTGAAAATTTAATTAAGCCACTATATGAGCTATGTTGAGCTATGTCAAAATAATTATATATATATATATATATATATATATATATATATAT